TTTCCTGCCCCCTCCCCGTTTGTCTTTTTTGGTCATCCCTTGAGAAAAATGAGTCTTTTTCTTCTTTCTCTCTGACTCTGAGTTGTCTTCGCATCGTGCCAGTTGCTGTTTCTCCACAATTAAAGACTGTTCATTAATTATCTGGAATTCCCCCTTGCTTTCGATTTTTTCGTGCATAGCCGAGAAGATTCCTTTCAGGTCCAGTCTGCACTCCTCAATTTGTTTTCCCAAATGTCCAATTATATAGTTTTGAAATTCTTGTAAAAGTTCCTTGACATCATGCATTGCCAGTTGCGACGATAGCTCACCCCCACCTTCCATGGTCGTACCAGTCAACAGATTAATTACTCAGAATCTCCACATGATTTATTGGCAAGTCCGATCTTAAGGTCTTGTAAGGGGGGACTTCATAAACATTGTAGCCAGAAACAGAGTCATTGCAAAGTTATTTAAAGTTCTTAAGTCCTGACTTTACAGATTTATGGAAGGCCAGTTCTCTAGGAGGGAGGGTTGAGAGGAAAGGGGATAAGTTGGTTTCGTTTTCGTGCTGTGACGTAGTAAAAAAAAACTCCAGTATTAAGGCATTAACGATGTTATGCCGCTCTGAGGTCTCCTTTTCAAACGGCTTTCACATAGCAGATTTGATCTTTACTTGCTGTAGCTTATCAGCAGATTAGATTAATTTCTATTCTGTAGTCAGGTAGTAATTTCCTCCCCTTTGCCAAGCAGCTAACTCACCAATCATGGCGACTTCACGAGACGAACTGCATGCAGGAAGGGAACCTCTTCCAAAACTCAGACTGCCATCTGAAATTCGGCGGTTCCGAAGCTCCCACTTGCTGACAAGTCCACGCTCCTGTGGAACTTGCCCCCTCCTTCTCCGGGGGGGTCGTCTGTCTCGGAGTAGACCCAGGAGAATCCAGAGCACTAGGATTCCCCTGTTCTCGCTGCTCGTGGCTCCTCCCTTCCCCCCGATTTCACTCTTATATTTTGATCTTCCACAGGTGAACTGAAAAAAGTACTGAATAGGCATGTTTTGAGTAATCACAAGCAGTCCTATTGTTACTGGTGTTTATTTCTAGGTAAGCACCATGTGGGATGTGGTGGTGCTGCGAGTTATATGGCAGAAGCCTCTGTGCTGCAAGGTTGGAAGACCAGCAGTCATAAGATCGTCACTTGTCCCAGCTCCTGCCAACCTAGCAGTTTGAAAGCATGTAAAAATGCGAGTAGATAAATAGGTACCACCTCAGTGGGAAGGTAACGGTGTTCCGTGTCTAGTCACGCTGGCCATATGACCACGGAAACTGTCTTTAGACAAACGCTGGCTCCACGGCTTGGAAATGGGATGAGCACTGCACCCTAGAGTCGGACACAACTGGACTAAATGTGAAGGGAAACCTTTACCTTTACCTAAGCACCATGTAAGATTGTACCTAAAATATTGTACATTTTCCAAATAGCATTTTATCAAAAAGGAGACAAACCACAGTAGAATAATTTCAAGCTACAAGCCTGGATCAAAGTAAAAGCTGGATTGTAACAATTATCTCTGTATTATGGATATTACTGACAAAGGAAACAGGATTAAGTGGAACCTTTTATGTCAGCCTCAAAATCTGTAAAGTCTACCTTACAGTGGAATACAGACTATGTTTGAATTGGAAGATATGTACATAATTTGGCTTAGTGCCCTGGAAAAGGTCATGGGGCTGTTCTCCTTGAAACCAGAGAGCAAAGAAAGTATGATAGGTTGTACTCTGGAGAGATTCTGTTCCACATACCAGGTAAGGAGCTCTGATTGCAACATCTCTCACTGAAGGGTAACAGTTTGGAATCTCTCTTTTGA